TATTTTTATTATTTTCAACCAATTTAATATTTATATATTTTAGTAGTTCTTTAACATATAATTAGAAAAATTAATAATTTTTTTAGTTTCAAGAAAATATATATCGTGTCGTTGTAGTATATTCACAAAATGAAGTGACTAATTAAATAAATTAAAACTAATATTTATCTAATAATTAGAAAATTTTTTAGTTAAGATTATAATTTAATAGTTTTATTTTATACACTTTTGACATATAATTGTAGATAATATTTAAAAAATACTCATGTGCCTTTGAAGTAATATGAATTTTTTGTTAATGTATTGTATGATATATAAATTCGAAAAGAGATGTTAAAAATTCAACTAAAAAATTATCGGATACTTCGAAGGTATATCCAATACGTATTCTTAAATATTTGATAAATATCGTATCCGATACGATATCTAATACGAATATGTTAACTACCAAAATATTCATGCTTCATACAACAAAAGTCAACAAAGAAAGAGAAATAAATGAATAGAAATAGATTCCAATGAAACATTTTACCTTTGCAATGAAGAAGATGCAAAGGTAAAAAGTAATTGAAAGTATACCTCATGAAAGTATTTTTCACTATTTTTAAGTGGTCGAGAATGAACCAGACGATAAGAATTAGGCAGCATATACCTTGCTTTTCCACTGCCCAGAAGAGCAGATAAACCAAAAGCTTGTCGCTTGCCTGCCTATCAAAACAACACAGCTAAAGCACATATCATCTCTTGGATTAGTTGATCCTATAAATTTTTTCGGTGAAACCCACTGATCCAAGACTGATATCTATTTGAATTATAATTTTTGGATTTCATTTGAATTGTATAACATTTTTTTAATATTACAATTAAGAAGTTAAATTGAGTCGAGATTGATCCAGTGATATAAAATTCATCTTAATTTTGGTCACATTAAAAAAATCAACTAGCACATTTCTCAATGTTAAAGAAGTCTATTAATTCACACTTATCTCTTTCTTCTCTCTTTGCTATCTCTCTTATTTTATTTTTATTAACTTTAATTTTAAATTATATAAATAACAATAAAAATTATTTTTTTATTGAAAATATAAATATAGCATGATTAATATTCAATTTTTGTTATTAGACCATCTCCAATGAAAATCTAAACTCTTACCCAAATTTAGGTAAACAAAAAAGAGCAATGTTATTGGGATTTAACCTAGTTCACTATGAAATTTGAATTGACTGTAGGATCCATCAAATATTAGAATTTGGTGTTGATCTACTGGTTTTACTGAAGCTACATCATTATGTCAATAAATTAGGTCAAATTTTTATGTCCAAATAATATTACTAAAAAAAAAGAGTAAAAAATTTGATTTGGTATAAATCTCTGTTCAATGAAGAAATTCAAATTTAAAAAAAGACAAATTCAAATTTAATTGAGAAAAAATTAGATTTAAAAAAATATATATAAAATATGACAAATAAATATTTAAAAAAGAGCGAAAACTTTACGTTAATTTTCAGACAAAATATTGCAATTAGAGAAAGAAGATATCTCTTATCGTATGGGCCAATGACTCAATTGCTAGGATGGAAAGAGCCCTTCCATTAGATTTTTATTGTCTGTAACTTTCATTGTCGCCCCCAAAAATATATAGGAGAAGACGATTATTATATCTAAATGCAAGTATGCGATGTCCGTCCCAACTAATAATAGCACCAACAAAACCAAAGAGATAGGGCTTACAGTGGATAAGAATCGTCACTGCCGCCCACGAAACTTGAATTCATGACTATCAAGTACCAACAAAATGGACATGGAATTAGGTCAGTCAACAAATCGAGTATAGATTAAATTTTAATTGATTTGAATTTGAATTTGATTTGATAATATAGATTTAAATATGTGAAATATAAGATAGAAGATTCTGATTAACAATAAAAAAAAATTAATTCATATTCGATTAATTAGATCTGATTTGAATCAAAATTTGATCCATTAACAGACCAGCATGAAATCATTCACGATTTTTTGAAATGAAAGAAGTCTTTCAACATTAAATTGAGAAAGTTGGCAGGGAAGACTGATGACCAAAAGAAAAACAGACCGACTAGAGGAAGTCCTGGTTCTTCATTCCTTCAAATGTTTGGCCTTGGCCTGGCAGACTTTTATGGCTCAATGCAAAGGAGTTGACCTATGCTGGTCAATAGAAACAGGCAATGGTCCTAGCTAATATTATCTGACAGATATATAAAATAATTTATTTATATATCTATTTTTTGTGTCGAATATAAAAAATATTATATTAAATTGAAGGACGATATTTTTAATAAATATGCGAAATGAGATACATATCTATTTTATGCGTAGGCAAAAACACAAACGATTGGCATGGAGAACAGGATGGCCCTTCATAACTCTTCAACCTAACACAGCCGACATAGTTAGATGAGGTACTGGTGGCTCCGGTCAGTGGTTATTTACCCTCGAAAATTTGTTTTGAATTACTTTTTTATTTTTGTTTTAGATAGTCAAAAACCATTTTAATCAAACACTGTTTAAGCTTACAATTATAAATTCACCACGCATTGAATATATGACAATGACATAATAACTTCCAAGATATTTTCAGCTATTATTTGAGTGGTCCCGGAAAAACCACAAAATAAATAAATGGGTATGAATTTGAGTACAAATTCATTGACTTTTTTATAATATAAAATTAGATAAATTTTAATAAGTTTATTCGATTGTCTCACAAAGACTCGTCTAACGGTCATTAACATCTCTCTCAAAATTATTTATATTGTATTGTATTTTAAAATACGAATTATTCCTAATATGATATAAATTCGATACAATATAAGCTTGACTAGGCACAAATTATAAATAAATTGAATAAGAATTTTATAAAATTTAACACGATATAATTTACTGTCAAACTCTTGTTTAAAAAAGTACATAAAAGTTTCCAATAGAAAATTGTGAGTGTTTCAAAGAACAAAATAAAAATAAAAATCCATGGCAATTCTTGCCGTCTCACAACAATTTGTGGACCTGTTATATAGGTGGCAACTAGATTAATGTACCAAGATCAAGACGGATGAAGTGCTTGTGCAGTGTTGTTCAAAATTCCACCCACCTTATCCGCTCCGCATTCTTCTTACACGGTTATTGGAATTTCGTAAAATTTTAGTATTTTCCAAAATTATGGTTAGGAATACGAAATTCTTATAAAATTTTTGCTTTCTTATTTGACCAGTACATATATTTAATTTTTTTTTAAAAAAATTAATATACTTAATATAAAACGACGTTATTTTACATGCTCATACTATCGGATTTATTGTATTTTTTTGTGTTATTAGTTTATTATGTTGGTTGATATGTTCTTATATTATATCTTAATAGTTTAATTATAAAAGTAGCCAAAAAATTTAGTAATGAAGTTCTTAAATGACCAAAAAATTAATAATTTAAAAATTAAAAATATGTGAAATATTTCGTATTTTTACCCAACTTTTGAGTCATATTTTTTGGACGGAATTCGATTCAGAACATTATACACAATCGGATAGGTTCGATAAAGAAATTAGTTTTTTGTAATTCATCAACTCAAAAAAAAAATGCATTATTTTCTATCCGTCGATTCAGGCGACCAACCTTACGTAACACAAACTCTTTGTTAGAGTGTTTCACATCTAAAAAAGTACTTTTTCGAGTATAAGTAATTGAATTTAAATTATAAAAAATTTTGAAGTATGATACCGTAATCTTTACCCACGTGTCCCTTTGAAGTCAATATACATATCCCTTAGAAGTCATAACAACATGTCCCGTATTTTAAATTGAAACGACACCTCTTTTAATTCTAGTCATTAAATTTGAATTAAATATTCTATAATCAGTAATTAAAAAATAAAAAATAAAAAACTCATAAAATAAAAAAATTATAGACATGGCCCAAGTTGAAAAATAAGATAACATATTATGTGTGACGGTAACACCACATGAGTAACACCACGTCATCATTATTATGTGGTGTTACCGACTAATAAAAACATAATAAATAAGTAAGTGGATATCACATATTATAATAACCAATCTCGCCTGTCATTTTTAATAACCACCCAAGTGGAGTTTGACTGATTTGCAATTTGTATATTTATTATTATATAATGACGCCACGTGATAATAATGATGTGATGTCACTATTACACTTAATATTTACTCAAAAAATAGAGATATCAAAAACAAAATCCTATTTTAAAGAAAATACGATACAATTCAAATTAAACCAAAAAAATACAACTCAAATATATATCATATTTTAGAGGGCGGTTGGACGAGCAGGTCCCATTGAAAAAATTAATTAGACTCATTCATTTAAAAGATGATATATATTTGAATTGTAATTTTTTAAAATTTTATTTGAATTATGTAATATTACTTTTATTTTAACTCCAACACAACTACTAACTAAGTATGCAGCACAACCGTTCTACGATATAATGTTATTATAGTATAATCATCTAATAAAAAAAAATAACAAAAATAAAATAGAGTTCACATCGTACAATGAATATAATTATATGTGATATAACTGAGTGGTTATGTATTTTAACGAAGCGTATTTGCTAATTAATCTATTTATTAATGAATCGTTAATATTTTTTTCGGAGTAGTTTTGTTGGGGGGTTGTTAATCCGACAAGAGCTGCTTGCTTAAACTAACCCATCGTATCTTACAATGAATATGTGCATTTTCCATAGAAAAACCCAAACCTTTTTCGGTTTTTCCAACCCAAGAAAACTCAGCCTCAAACTCTGTTGATCACTGCATGATCAGATTTCCCGGGCGAGAAAAGGTTTACCTGGGTGTGTTTTGGATTTTTACCAGAGATTAAAGATGAGGAAAAAAACTTTCTGGTTGATGATTCGTTTGAAGACGACTTTTCAACCCGATGTCACAGAGAAGACTTACATAGGAGAGAGACAGACAGAGAGTCTAGAGAGAGAAAACGAAAGGGAACGGTCAAACGTTACCGGTGGCTCCGGTCACTGGTTGATAAACCTCTCCGTACTTCTCTTCCTCTCAAGTCTGATCTCTAAAACTCTCTCTCTGTCCATCTATCTCTCTCATTTTGTTTTTTTTTTGTGGGTCGTTGAGAGTTTCTTTGGACCAGCTTTGAATCGTTGTACTGGTTTGACAAGAAAGATCGAGTTTTCTTGAAGATCTCTTCTCTGCCATTTCTGGGTTCCATTCACAAGCTTTTCGAGATAAAATGGCAGTACGTTTACCTTATGTCCTTTCTTTAATTTTTGCCTTTTTTTGGTGATGCATTTTTGTTTTGTTTTGGCATAAGGAGTGATGTATTAGATAGATAACCGTTGAAATAGCAAGTTTGTTATGGTATTAGTTCGTTTTGTTTTTGCTTTAAAAATGATGGTTATTGTTAAATTTCATAATCGAATTTGGAGATTGTCCTGGTCATTTATAAATAATGAAGAGTTTGGATGCTTGGAGATAATCAGTCAAGCAGATAATCGATCTCCAATGTTTTACAGTGATGTTTATGCCCTGTTCCGTCAGATATGAAAATAATAAATTTTAACTAAGAGAAACGTTGTTGGAACCTAATTAGGGGACGGGGATCTAATCATGACTTAATTCGATGCAACTATTAGATTTGTTGTGAGTTCTCATACGAGATTGAACACTTTCGATCCAATGGTTATATTGAATTAGATCTGCCCTCAAATAACATTCTCCTTTTATTAAATCTAGTTGGACAGTGTTCTACTTGTTTGTATTACAAGAAAAACTTGTTAAATTTTAATCCGAATGTAGGTTACTGTTTAATTGATGAACTGAGGCCTTGATTATTTTGGGAGGATCTTCCAGTTTGAAGCAAATTTAGGATGGAGCAGATTGCTGTTTTTCTTTGTTTAATCCGTCAACACGGATTTAAATTGATCCAAAAGAGAGTTAACTTACAAAGTATACCAGGCTGACCAGAGACATTTCAAGAAACCTATACAAAGAGAAACTACTCAAATACTTACAGATTACATCCAACAGTGTCACAGCAAGTGAAGCCTTCTAGGACAGATTGTTCACCATCCTACAATATTTTGTTAATTCAAAATGATAATACTTGTGTCAAATTATTCGCTCGACTCTTATTGATCATAATTGAAGTCGTGACTGAAGCTTTTCGGAGATCTAAGCTGAATTTAATTGTCTATATACTTCGGAATTTCAGATCCCTTAGTTACTAATTTGTAGATGTTTTTATACGATGATGCTTCATAGAGTGTGGAATGATGCTGATTATTGACAACGTGGACTTAAAATCAGTATCTGAGAAATATGGATGGGTTAATCAATCAATAATTCAGGCACTTAATAAGGGTTCTAGGCTGAAGAATCATAGGGATTTTTGTTCTCTACCTCAAAAGCAGTTTGAAATTTTCTGTAGTTATGAATGGCTTATATCGGATTATGAATATGTGAATGATTTTTGGTTTTGTCACAGCAACGCGCGCATGTACCAAAGTTTGGCAACTGGGATGGAGAAGGCGATGTTCCTTACACAGTCTACTTTGAGAAGGCACGGAAAGGTAGAAGTGGTGGAAAGATAATAAATCCAAATGACCCCCAAGAAAATCCGGATCTGTTTCCCAACGTTCCTTCTCCAGATCAAGCTCCTCCCTCTGGTTCAAACAAAACTAAACCAGAGGAACCAATAGGACGGGTTGGACCAACACATGAGCGTCAAGTGAGTATAGAAGATGACAACCTTGGGCAGTTCGCTGATTCTCCGGCAAGTAATGACAACATGGTCCGTAGAACTTCTGGTGAATCAACTCATCAACATCAGGGAGGCCGTGGAGCAAGTTCTGGTCGACCTGCAAGGAAAAGCGGTGGATTTGAGCATAGCATTGATAAATCACCACTCCATCCACTTTACCAGGCAAAGATTAGGGGGAAAGGCAGTGGATCGCCTGCCAGGGAAGGAAAGAACTCGTATGACGGTGGCCATGGTACTCCTGCAAGGTCCCGACTGAAGCCAGGCACTAGCGGAGATGAAAGTGTACGTTCCGTTCTTTATTTTCAATCATCCATATATCCTAAAACATAGTTTGAAACCATTTATGGTGTTTACATTTTCTGTAAGCATTCAATCTTTTATCTCATTTAATAACTTCAGTTTACATTTGATTGTTAATGGAATAAAAATAAGTCCCTTTCATGTGCTAGACTGTGTCAAAGTGCATAAATTTGGTTCCTATTTGAATCTCTTGATAAAGCCAGTCTCCTGTTGCAATGACAGCCTGATAAAGGTGCTGCAATTCCAAGATTTGGCGGGTGGGACGAGAACGACCCTTCATCAGCTGAAAACTATACTCACATTTTCAACAGAGTGCGAGAAGAAAGGCAAGCAGGGGGGTTTGCAAATACAGATGCCAATTCATATCAAGATCAGAATCGAAGGCAAAATGTCAACGATGATCCTAAGGTATGCCGGTTTTTCCTCATCATCAATTAAGGAGCATTGCAGCTTATGCTCTTTTTAATCTGTCACTCATCTAATTCGTCTGTTGTTTTCCTTTTCTCCTCTTCTTTCCAGGGTTGCTGTTTTCCATGTTTTGGAAAATGAAGACCTTTCCGGGATGAACCTGTTTGTAAATAGCTGAAATGCTATCTGTATGCAGAGTTATCTTTATAAACAATGCATTCTTTCGCTTTATTAGTGTGCTTTTTATGACAATAAATTTGTTCTGATGGGTAAAAATTTCTGTTTTTGGGTGTCAGCCTTCTCTTCTTGGCAATTTCTGCTTTCGTAATTGTAAAATCAGAGGCAAATTCTTTTGTTCTGTTTTATTATATAATATATGGTTTTGAATTCCTAAGGGCCTTAGTTTCCCCATGATTTGTTCATCTCTTTCTTTTTTGCTTTTGTTGTACACAGCTATGCTGTTTTTGCAATTTTTTTTTAACTTAACAGTCAGGGGTGTTTGTACTAAGTTATATGCATCTCGAGGTCATCAACGTTGAGATTACGATATTAATGAAAGATAAATTCTTTATAACTTGGTCCAAAAAGATTATTAAAATTTAAACTCATTTCCTCAAGGTTTTTTGCAATTTACCCCTTTTAATAGTTTATTATGCATAACAATTTTAAACACGACTCCAAACCTGATGAATAATTGGAAAACCACATTTTTTTTTCAATACTCGTTGCTAGAAATTAAAGAAATACAATGGATTTTTCACATGAGTGGGGAAAAATATGTACAATTCCTACCAGCAAAAGTTGCCTTAAATTAGTGATGCAACAACTAAATCCCATCGTCTTAAAAAAAAAAAAAACAACTAAAACACTTTCATAAACGAAAAAGAGAGGCCATGCCTGTTCCATGATTGAATTTGGAGAGCGAGAGAGAGAGAGAGGGTTTTTTATGCAAACAGAACAGAAGAGGATGATAGTATCACGGAAAAAGAGACAATTGTTACAAATTTATTTAGAGAAATTAAAAAGAGAAGAAAAACTTGATGGTCACACAAATAATGTTCGATTAATATGGTCATTCTCTTATGTACAATTTTGTTTTTTCATGAGTTATTGATCTAGAATTTATTTAAATAGAATAGAGAAAATTATAGGAGCCACCCCGAATTGTATAGCATATAGTATGCATTATAAATGAGGAAATTGTATTAAATATTTTATTATAAAGTATATAAGTGTATCTCTATATACTTATGTCCGTGTATTGCATACATGTATATGATGCAATCAGGCCAGCATTACCGAATATAAATGTAACCAAGTGGAGTGTCATAGTCAGCATTACCAACAATTAATCTAGACTTACCCCCCAAAAAGAACAAACCATTATTTAGGTGTATTTTCGTAATATAAGAGAAATTTAGCACATTCTTTACTACAGATCTGAAGAAATTATAATTTAATCGACGAATAAAATAAAGGCCTCACGTTGACGGTGTGGATCATCTCCCAATCCCCAACAATGGGGCCCACGCCACAAATTCACCGCCAAAATTTCGCGGTCGTTAAAAATTTTGAATTTCTAATTCTAAACGGCTGAAATTCGAAGTTTCAAACCCCAAAACCCCCATTCTCTCTCTCTCTCTCTCTCTCTCTCTCCAAAAAATTCAGAGACCTAAAAGCAAAGGTTGAAGTCGTTGAGGTCAAATTCGAAGTTTCAAACCCCAAAACCCCCATTCTCTCTCCCCCCCTTCTCTGTCTCTCCCGAAATTTCAGAGATCTGAGAGCAAAGGTTGAAGTCGTTGAGGTCAAACACTAATTCTCCAGCAAAGGTTTCTTCTGATTCATCGCAATTTGAGGTACTGCTGTAAAACCTAAATCTCGCTTTAAGGTTGGGTTTCCTATGAGCTATCGAATGTACAAAAACGCCCACAGTAACGCATATGAAGCGAGGTGAGGCTGTTCTTTCACTTTTTAATTTGCATTGCTGTACCATTACTGAGTGAAAGTTAGTTCTTTTTACGAACTCCGCATTGGTTTGACCGAAAGAGATCTGTCTTTGTCCTTGTTTTATAGAGTAGGCAGTTGAGTAATTATGGTGAGAGAGCACAGCGTCGAGTCATTCTATGCTCGATTGCGCAAATCAGCTTTGGCATCAGCTTCTTCCACTCCTTTGCTCATATTTCCTTCCACATCCGATGCTGATTCACTCTGTGCTTTGAAAATTATAGGCCATGTTCTTGAATCTGATTCGGTTAGGTATGCTTGTTACCCAGTTTCTACCTTTAAGGAAATTCACAAGTATGCAGGGCCTAGTTTGTGTTCTTCCTCTGATGAGCCCATTACAATTCTTTTGGTAAATTGGGGGTGTCATAGGGATCTTAGGAAGATCCTAGAAATAGGCCCTTCGGCATTAGTTTTTGTGGTGGATAGTCACCGGCCAATTCATTTGCATAATCTCAGTGATCAGAATGATCGTGTGGTAGTGCTTTATACTAGGGATGATGAGCATCAGGCGGATTTGTCATATGACTTTGATGTGTCAGCCTTGGCAAGTGCGAGCGATTTGAACAGTGACGATGAGGTAGAAGATAATTCAGATAGTGAAGATGAGAATGAGAGTGAAAGTGAGGATGAAGATGGAGATGGGACTCGGAAGAGGAGGAGGTTGTCGGATGAGAATGAGACTGACCCGGTTAAGCTTTTTAGGAAACTGAAGAAAGAATATTACTACATGGGTACTTTCCATGGTAAGCCATCTGGATGTTTGATGTATGAATTATCCCATTCCCTGAGGAAGAACACAAACGAATTGCTTTGGTTTGCTTGTCTGGCTTTGACTGATCAATTTGTTCACGAGAGATTAACAAATGAGAGATACCAAGCTGGGGTGATGGAGCTTGAGCAGCATATTAATAGCTCAGGGAATTTGGATGCTGTTACTTTGGTGACTCTAAAAGATGGAACAAAGGTGTCTGCACCCGATTGTTCAAGAATTGCATATGAAGATGAGCCAAGATTAATGTTGCTACAAGAATGGAATTTGTTTGATTCGATGCTTTGCTCATCCTACATTGCAACTAAATTGAAGACTTGGAGTGACAATGGGATAAAAAGAATGCAGCTAATTTTAGCTCGAATGGGATTTGCTCGTGAGGAGTGCAGACAGAAGTTTCAATTCATGAGTATTGACATCAAGCGGAGAATGAAGGATATGTTTGAAAAGTTTTTACCAGAGTATGGGCTTACAGAGTTCTACTACAGAGGCTTCTTGCTGCTTCATGGGTATAGTTCAAAAGTTTCTGCAGCAGATGTGGTGTATGGAGTTACTGCACTGTTGGAGTCATCTGTTGAGTCAGATGGCTCCTGTGCTTCCAAGCAGTTTGGGGTGGCCTATGATGCATTGTCCCTGAGCAAGCTCGAGAAGCTGGAAATTGGAATGCAACAAGCTATCAAGGTACAAAGGGCGATTCTTAGACAAGGAAGTGCAGCAATAACCAAGAAGGGATCTATCAGAAGTGGGAGTAAATTCAGGTGGGTAAAGCTTGATGATTCAGCAGACACAAAGTTGTTGGGATACCCTCAGGCTTTAACTAAATTTGGCTATTTTCTATTGGATGCTTTGCGGGAAAAGGGAGCAAAAATGAAGCCTTTGATCTGTGTTTGCTACACTCAAGAGCGCCACCAGGTGTTGATTGTCGGAGTTTGTGGGAAGCCACGGCTTGGAGCAGTTCAAGGAAATGCATTTGGGATTGCTTTCAGAAATGCAGCTGAGGAGACTGGAGCTGAGTTCTTTCATGAGCTATTTGAATCCTCATGGATAGTTCTTGATGCAGTTGCTGTTAATTCATTCATGATCAGGTTAACAGAGAAGCTGTGGTGAAGCTCTTTATCTAAGCTTACTTCAATCAATCTTTCTCTTCAATTTAGACATCTGTTCCTAAGAGATGAAATCTGTTGGTTATGCCAAGCAACCATATTTGCTCACTCCTAACCTCTGTAGAATGACTTATTGATGAGAACTCTTGATTAATTCATACTGAGAAATTTGATCTGATCATGATCATCACTTGGAAACATTGGTTTAATAGAAACTGGATCATCAGGTTGCAGGAACGAATCAGAGACCCCTTGAGTATTGTTACCACCTGAAAGTCTTACCTGCAAGGAGTTCCCGATAGACTAGCTAGGCAGGCAAGTGTCATTCAGAATTGTATTTGTGGGACGGAAGAAATTCCTGTAGTTGTGCTTTCTTCTATTGACAAGGATGTATTGACTTCGTTTGATCGATAAAATTTCATTGCTTTCACATCATTAAGAAAAAGAACGTTCTCAGTAGTTCTTTTTTGTAACATTTATTGTTAATCATACAGTGGTCCTCAAAGTTTTATTTTTAATTAATTTGATCTTTAAAGTTTACATATTCGACCAATGTGGTCCTTGACACTAACTGCCGTCTAAAAAAAGACAGAAAATGTCACGGGCTGGCACATGACGGTAAATGAGGGGCACATGTGCCAGACTTCCACTCCCAGCAAAACAGGCAACACCAAATCCTAATCTGATTAGGCACATCCAAAACCTATTTGATAGTTATATGGAATCCAAAACCAAATCCTAATCTGATTTGTTCGATGTGATATTAGTGATATTATTTCTTACTTTATAGAGATCCTCAAATAATTCTATTGGGTGTGCCTAACAAAAATTAAAACACTATTTAATTTTGGTCCCGTGCTTTTAGGATTCAACTGGAACCCATTCCAAATTCACCAACTCGGGTTCAATCCATTGTAGTCCCAATTTGAACTCAAGTGGCAAAACCTTGAAATTGAATTTAATTTTAGCTCAACTCGTATAACTTGAGTTTAACAATCTAAGCACAAATGATACTAAGCTCTAAATGTTGGTTTCAAATTAGAGTTGAATTTACTTAGGACTAACATCTCTGTCCACCCGTATTGTAATCCTAACTTTGTTCTGATACCAATGCAATATAGTCAGGAGCATACCAGATGGGCATTTAACTACAAGCTTGAATTAATATTTTTCAATTGATAAATCTAAAATGATACATACATATTTTTTTAAAATATGTCCCAATTGCAAAAATATAGATACTTGTACACCAATTGTAAGCAATTTTCCCTTTAAAATTAAGAATATAAACAAAAACATCGTACCCATGTGCCACTTTCAAATTAAGCATCCCAAATTTACTAATTTGGATCCAATTTGAAATTTATTCTAAATTTGAGCCGAAGTTTCAAAGCTTTGAAATTAAATTGAATTTTACCCTAATTTGTGTAACTCGAGTTTAAAATCTAACGTTGTGTTTGGTTTTTGGTATTAGATCAAGGGAATGGAACGAGTATTACCTGGTAATGAGCATTTATTTGTATGGTTTGTGGTAATAAAAAATTCTTCCCATTCCTTTTCATTCAAAAGAATAACTAATCCAACAAAATATGAGATTATCCATTACTAATTAAAACATGGTATTTCCCATTCCCGAAGCCAAATTTATAACCGCTAAATCCGACTCCTCCCGATCCCAGTCTCGTCGACTTGCAACTCCCTTCCCAAGTCTCTCTTCTCTCTTCCGCTCCTCTGCTCACCTCTCAACTCTTCTCTACCGAACCTATGCCATTCGACCCCTTCTTTCATCCGGCAACCGAGGGTGTTTCCGCGATGGCAAATCAGCAGTCTCACGCTGCCCAGGCCCACTGAACGACTCAACAGAATCTGCTAAGAGTGGTCCTCTGGGCGATAATCTGGTGCTCCTGAGGATACAACCGCTGATTGACAAAGCGATCGTTAGGGTTCTGATGAAATGGATAGTAGGGATTTGAAGGTGTGGTTGATGGAAAGTTGATCTTGGCCTTGGGTCCCCGAAGCGAAAGAGCAGCGGCGTCGTAGGCTCGAGCTGCGTCTTCAACTGAATCGAAAGTCCCCAGCCAAACCCTAAATTTTTGCCTTGGGTCTCTGATTTCTGCAGCGAATCTTCCCCAAGGTCTCTTTCTCACTCCTCAGAACCTTATCTCTGGTGGAATTTCTATGTGTTCCTGTTGTCTTGATCAATGGGTAATTGTTGTGCGTATACAGTTGCATTAGTTTTTTGAGCTTATACAGTTGACTTTGTTTGGAAATCTATTGGGCAACCAAGCTAAATTAGTTGACTCGGTAATGTTCGAAACCTGTTCGATGATAATCCCAAAAGAAAAAATTTGAGTATCTAGCTAAATTAGTGGACTAATACGATGTTACTACAATTCTTAAGATGTTAAAAGTTGAGTATCTTTCACTCCATAATAAAATTGTGGGAAGTTCCAATGTGTCATGTTGACAGTATCGAATGGTTATAAATAGAATAGGCTTTCTTCTTGTCATGATTTATTTCATTAGAGAACCCCTATCTTAACTGTTATTTTGTTTGGTAAGTTTTTTTTTTTTGGTCCCATGTTGTAATGCATTATGAATTATTTGGGGCTTGTATGAACTTATCGCTTGGAATGGATGTTTATTCTTAATTTTCGGTCTGTTTGGTTGCTGAGAAATGAGGGGACAGGAAAAAAATAAAATTTTGGACTAAATACAGGTATTTGGTCAATTGAAGATGTATTTTCAAATCAGGTATTTGGTAATTCATTTTCAATAACAAAGTGCTTTACTGCATGAGTGCCAGGATAAATCCAATTCCCCTCAGCAATTGTCTCAGCAAAGCTAATTCTTTGTTTACTCATCTTTTGATGTGTCTACACAGTAATTAAATTATGCCCATATGGTCTGGCAAGTTCCGGTGCTTATATCGATGTTGTGGACGATCGGGTTGTTGAGGGAGAAGGTGCCGAGAGGAGCGAGAAAGGGGGAGTTCTGAGAGTTGGACTCATCTGCGGAGGTCTGTCTGCTGAGCGTGGGATATCTTTGAATTCCGCAAGATCAGTCCTCGATCATATACAGGTAACATATGCTTGTGCGTGTATATGAATTTGTATTAATTCTTTAGTGGTCGTATCAAATAACTTTTGGTGTTATGTCAGTTTAAGTCGAATATTGAGTTGGTTTAATGGGGAACTATTGCAGTCAAAATTGGAGTGGGAAAATGGAAAGTTAATGCGGTGTTGTACTTTATTTGCTCTTTGATTTCTTGGAAAGCGAAAGAATCAACTTGATTTTAGTCAAAGACGAGTTGAGTTGACCATTTGTCTTTTCAAGTTGTCAACGTTGAAGTTTTTCTTTTTCTAGACATACACAATAGAAAACTCTTGTAAGTGTTATCAGAATGGAGCATTTTGTGTCATGTTTGCTATCAATGGGAGAGTTCCAAACATTGGAATGGTAATGTGCATTTTATTTTCAAGTTCATTCTATTTCCAAACTCATTCTATTTCTACTGAAAAGTATTACCGCGTACCAAACGCAGCGTAAGTATAAATGATACGAGGCTTGAATTAAAGTTGGATGGATTTATATAACTTAGCTTGAGTTCAAGTTAACATCACAATCCACCCTAATTACAATCCTAGTTCCGTCAAGATACCAATGCAACATAGCTAAAAATTGAGATTCAACGTGTTCAAAACTTATTCCAATGTGATACAATATATATGTTTAATTAAGCGAGTTGATTAGATTAATTAACTTAAATTAAGAATTTAAACAATTTATTTAAGGAATTTGATTAGATTGATTTCCAATATCACTCATCAAAACCTTTGAAATAAACCCAATTTCACTAGCCTGAGTTAGTTTTTGTTCATGTATCGATCTAATCATAGCATAAAAGTTAGCATATATATTACATGCTGCATGTTTCAAATTACATGGATTATATATTCATTAACATCAATTCAAAAAATTCCTTGAGAAATTAATTATAGTGTTGTGTGAAATTCTAGAACTTTTTTCATAATCTTTATAATATTTCAAAGTTTTGGTTGGGGCAATTCATGCCTAATGGCACACAATTCATGTTCAGTGTCACACAATTTGTGTCCAATTCACACCAATCAAGTCATGCATAGCAAGTGGATATACTATATAAATACCACTGTAATTTAGGGTCTAGCATATTATATCTCAACACATATGTAATAAAGCAGAACAACAAAATGGAGAATGAAATTGAAAATGTAATTGAGAGTGAAAATGAAGTGGAGAATGTGATTGAAGAGAAGGAAGAAGAGGAACATGTCGCATCCTCTGACAGTGAGAAAGAGGAAGAAAAAGAGAAAGAGAAGGAGAAGGAGAAAGAGAAAGAGAAAGAGGAGGAAGAACATGAGCATCCTCTTGATTTCAATGGACATTGTAACCTCTGTGATGGGAAGTACGGCAAAAAAGTTAAGCATCACCAATTCGCAAATAGGGCAGAACTGTCCGAACATCGTGAGAGGCGCCGCCACTAAGACGCTTAGCGACTGAGCACGACTATTAGCCAAGGGTTATCTAATTTTTACGTTTTGTTAGTTCTTGTTTTCTATAAATGTTTTTAGTATGTCTTGTTTTATTTTTATTTTCGTTTTGCTTTAGTTTTAAATTGTAACCTTGGCTATTTGACAAATATTAATGAGAAGTCTAGTTATAATTTATATACTATGTGTCTATTAAATTAAGCACATTTTAAAGTTGACGGTACATCCAATTTACACAAATTACACAGATCAAGGAAAATATGAGAATATCATTGGTTTTATAATAATAGTTAGGGATAAAATAAAAAATCAAAATTTTTTCATAGATGATGACATTTATAAGTAAATATAGATGAGTTGAGAGAGAATATAAATTTTTCATGATTTAAAAAAAAACACTAATGTATTGGGATATAATTTGAGAACATAATGCATTGTGACCATTGGATTGATACTAAAATATATTTAATTTTGAGACCTATTAATAATCTAATTACCACAATCATTATCTTCCTAAAAAAAATTTGAGTTTAAACTCGAGGGATAAAAACTTGTTTTGGGTTCATAAGACTAACTGGTTTGATTAGATATGTGCCTAATCAGATTAGGAATTGGTTCTCCTTTTTTGGTGGGAGTGGAAGTCTAGCACATGTAGGAATCCAAGTGTCTGTAGTATAACCATACCCATATATGTCTATAATCAAAAGAAAGACAGCAACCAAAATATTCTCTTTTACCCTTTAGTCTTCTACATCTCTTCAATTATATATTAGTCTTCTATTTTATTTTAGTGTGAGGCAACACGGTTTTCGAAGAACGATCAAGCTTGTTCCTGATTGTTGAAGCATCCTCTTCCTACAAATTTTAGATTTCTTTTCGGCTAAATCATTCAATGCACACGAAGAAGAGAAGAGGGAAAGATTTATACTCTAATAAAAGTAGGGAACACTTTTTCTAAAAAATCCACTACCTGGCTACTCTATGTATCATCGCTAGAGACGTCGATAGTCTCATATTCATCCCTTCTTCCACTCTTTATTGGCTCGTTTTGTAGGAATAGAGAAGTCAAAGTAATTGTGAAGGCTGCCAAGAGTCATTCTGAGCTTTAATACTACGCTATTCAGCTCGTTGTAGTTCATTGGTCTAAAGTTTAATCCTTCTTGTGTGGTAAACAAGCAAGGGAATTGACTCCTTCTATCCCTTTGTCTCGCCACAACACAAGCTATGATATAAGCTGTCTAGGCCTCACTCAGTTCCTTCAAAAAAGGTAATCCTAAACACCCCTTTTTCTTCATTTTTTTAACCCAGACTATCCTCCACACAATCAGCAGCCTCCACCACAAAATCAATGGTGTTGGGTGTGGGGTTTGGCTTGCTGGACTCACTGTCATTCTTATGTATGATTGCTATGCATTAAAACCCTGCTTGCAGGTAAGACTGCGTGCATCTATCTTTTCTCAGACTTTGCAATGGTGGAAACGTCTTGCACCGGGTACGCCTTATATATACTATTCTAATCTTCCGTTTCTTGTTTTGTGTTAGGGCTTGGGACAACAAACGCGGAATGGCCTTTTCAGTTTTATGTTGGGCAGGGCTTCCCAAAGACATTCTTGACTTAATTTTGGACCATATAATCCAATTTTCTGACTATATTCGATTTTGCTCGGTTTGTAAGTCATGGCGTTCGGTTGGATTGGAGGACAATAATTACCACCATCTTCATATTCAAAGGCTGCGTATCCTTAAAGCATGTAGAAGTCGACTTCCTATGCTCATGATTCCTCCTACAATTAACAACAAAGAAAATCAAAGTTTTTATAGTGTCACCGATGGCGTAATCCTTGATCTCCAGTTGCCAATGTCTTTCAACAGGCGTTGTTTTGGTTCTTCGCATGGATGGTTATTCACTATGGAAAAACCTATGGTTATAGTTCTCTTAAATCCATTCAGTGGAAGAACCATCCATCTCCCAGAATTAAAAGATCCTGAAACTGTTTACCAATTTTGGGTTGATAAAGATGACCATGAATATTTTGTTTCTAAAGGTATATTATCATCTGATCCTTGTCGGGATGTCGATAATTATGAAGTTGTAGTCATTTATAGTGACAACAGAAAATTGGCATCTTTCAAATCAGGTGATGAAACTTGGCAATTCTTCAACTTGACAAAAGGTTATTTTTTCTCTGATATTATTTACTATGAAGGTCAACTCCATGCTATCAACAATTTTGGGGGTCTTATGCATATTGACACTATTAGTGGTGCTGGTAAAATTATAATCAAGCCAACTCGGCGTATGGAATGTCGGATGACTTATCTTGTAAAATCATATGAGAGAGATCTATTAATGGTACAAAAGTTTATGGAAGAAAATGAGCATGACGACATGCATTATAAGGCTTCGGACTTCAAGATTTTTAGGATGGTACATTCAACCCAGATGAGAACACCATCATGGGTCGAAATCAACAGCATTGGCGATCAAGCCTTATTTGTGGGGAACAATTATTCTCTGACTGTTTCGACATCAGATTTTTCTGGATGTTCCTCGAATTGCATCTATTATACCGATCATTATTTGGCAATCACGGGTCATTATGTCCCTCATGGTCCTGATGATGACACGGGCATCTTCAACCTAAGGGATAGGAGTTTTGGATCGCATTACATAGCAGACCGAGAGCACTTGATACCCCCAATTTGGATTGTGCCAAATTTGAAAGATGACACTCAACCAATCTGAGATTCAGAATGGATCAACATTGTGTTTAGTCATAGCTTACTTTTAATGTTTGATTAATAATTTCTGCTAGTGTATGCTTCATTCACTCATTATATGTAGACTTCCAGTTGCAACAATTACTTTTATAAACTAGAGGGATACAATTTTCTATTGTTTTTATGCTACTGTTGGTCAATTTTCTATTCAAGGTTTCATACAGTAATCCACATATTTGCTTGTAGATATACATCAAACGAAGATTGTACCATGGAAAACCTACATCTGTATTTTCCATTTCCCATCTGACAGTAGCACCGAGCAACCAAACACAATCAGAAAATTTTATTACCATATACAATGCCCATGAGCATTGAAGTTTACTTTAAGAGCGTGAGTTCAAATCTCGTTATCTCTCTCCTTGTAATCGTACGTTACTAAAAAAAAATGATGTTTTAGTACTTTAAACCTATACAAATATGACACTCACATTTTTACCCTTCCATCTAGTGTAACATACCAAATTTGTCTACTTTGAACATGTTATATTTTTTCGAATTTATAATATAAAATTGGACAAGTTTTAATAAGTCCATTCGACAATCACAAGTGGACTAATCCAATGGTCACCAACATGCATCTTAAAACTTTTCACATTGTACCGTGTTTTCTGGCACGGGTTACCTCCAATATATAATAAAGGAAGAAAAGTGTAGATGTTTTAATTAAAGCAACATTTTTCTTGGTAGTAAACTCTCAGTCTAGTCTGTCCAACTTGATGATTATTTGTGCGTCCACAACGATAATATCTAATTTTATTTATGTTTAATCCAAGCTATAGTTGGACAAAATTCTTTTTAAGTTGTCTTTTGTACTATGACAATGAAAACTTGAAGCCCGTTTATTTGTGTGACAACTAGTGCTTGTGGTTGCAATCATAGAGGCTACAATCACCGAGACTTGTTGTTGTATTTTTTTTATTTTAACGATTTGGGGGGAGATGATTGATCATTTTGCTTGGTACATGAGAGTATTGACGGATACATTACACTTTTTTAGGCAAAAGTTAACATGAAGGACCACATTAACTGAATGTGTGAACATTGATGACCAAATGGACAAAATTAAAATTTCGAGAACTAAAGTGTAACTAATGTTAAATTTTAAGAACTACTGACAAGGGCGGAGCCAAAATTTTTGTTTGTCTCGGGCTAAGCTAATCATTCATACGACTAACAAAATACAAATATAAACTCATAAACATATATAAAATAATACAAATGTAAACTCATAAATACTTACTAATGAAATTGGACTCTTCGATCTTTCTTAGAATAAAAGACATCTATTATTGAATCTGTATTGATTGCTTCCGTAATTTTTCTTTCAATGTAGATAACTAATAAATCAGTCAAATACTCATCTTCTATCTTGTTATAAAAAGTACTTTTGACATGTTTCATGGGCTGATTTTCCAAAAGACATTTATTTTTTGTTCTTGATTTTTCATGCTAATAAAGTAGAGAAGGGCTGAAAATTAGAGAAATAAACCAGAGAAACAAATCAACAAGACGAAAATGATTCTATTATTCTACTTAAAAAATAATCAACAAAAAATCAGAGAAAACAATTCAAATAACGTCTTAATATATGATCAAGGAGACAAGCAACGAGTCATGATACCTCACTGTAATTACTCATATAAAAAAATTATTATATTATTTTGGTGCATTGGCTATCTAGGAGTAATTATATATATATATATATATATATATATATAAGAATAAAAATAATTTAAAAAAAAGACTAATATATCTCTAATAAAAAGTCTTACCTAGAGACTATTAGGACTCTTATACATGTAGTTTAAATAAGGTAGTATTGTTGGATAGGTCAAACCCTTATCTATATAAAAATATATTTAGGTTGTAGGGTCTTTTGGTGAGAAGGCTTATGGAGGAGGCTGTTTTATGAACAAAGAAGAAAAAAATAACGTGAAAGAGGAAAAGAGAGAGAAAAGAAAGAAGGAGGAAGAAGACAAGTGGATTAAGTCCTTTAAAGGTGAGTTTATTATTTATTTTATGGGTTTTATAGTTTATTCAATCACATAATATTAGGTTGATAATAATAATATTACGTAATATGTATATATACAAATATACAGAATGAGTTTCATGGTAATCGTTTATAATTATTGAAATTTATTAGATTGAATTTAGACTTATAGTTGACTAATCAATAGGTTGAAAAAGAAAAGAAAAGAACAGGGTTTGGAATTGTTGATGCAGAACAAATAACCTGGATGACCGTAGGTAGAAGAAAACCAATCCAGAAATTATAGAAAGCTTCCCTTTAATTTTAAAGAGTTTTATTTTGACCTCTTTATTCATCTGAACTTAATTTTAAGTACTTTTTTACTTGGTAAGTTATAAGAACAGAATTCTGAAAAATTTATGGCAGCCCCGAAGACAGAAAATTTGTTTTTAAGAAAATTATACTTTGACTCCAAAAAATTTAAAAATTATAATTTAACCCTAAAATTTTAAAATTTTTTTTTAAACAGCCCAGAATACTTCCATATCCTATTCTCTCGTATTAGAAAGGATGTTTATATGTAATAGATTTATTAAGTATATATCAAAGAGTAGAAAGTACGTAAATTAAATATACAATCACGAAATGACGAAGTTAGAAATAGAGATTGATCGTTATATGTTATTTTGAATTAGGTGGTGATTGCATTGAGGTTAAGAAAGAGTGTTTTGAATTGAATTTTGAAAATCAAGGTGAGTAGTTTATTACTTCTTTTGGGAGGATTTTCTATATTAAACTTGTGACTTGTGGGTGCGTGTGTGTGAATTTTTCATATATATGATATATGTTGATGTTCGTGGTTACAATTAAATATTTTTGCAATTGTGAATTGTTACACATGTGAATTTGCAAAACTTATGAGATGATTTTATATTATTGCTTGAATGGTTTTGGTGATGAAAGAGAAATTTTGTGAGCAATGAGACTAAAACAACAGTTTTAGTGTGTGTGTTGAAATCATGTTTTATGAGAAAGGGATTGAATTACCAGGTCTAAATGGTAATGAGATTGTATACCGGTATGGTCGGTATAGGGATGTGCACATAGGGGTCAATTATCAGGCTAGTGATAACAAAAGAGGGGGCCAGTCATCAGGCTAGTGATGACAAGAAATGCAGCCAGTTACCAAGCTAGTGGTTACAAACATGATTTGACAAGTGTATTTGAGACTGAATGTGTGTATGAGTGTTTTGAGTTATAAATGTCTTTTTTTTTATAAAGTTATTATGATCATTTTGTTTACATGGTTATGTGAAAGGGATTGAGATACAATTTATTGTATTTATGTATATAACAAAGTTTATTTCTGTGTATATGAAATGTGAGATTTATTTTCAAACCTCATTAGACGTGGTTGCTACTCACGAGTCTTTGTGCTCACCCAAATATTTAACATTTTTCAGGTGAGGATCAAAAGGAGGATTAAGTTCTCGAATAGACAAGGGATTAGAAGAATCGAAGATTTATTTTATTGTAGGTCTTCAGGAATAAATATTTTTTTATAGTTTTGAGACAAGTATTCGATTGTTTTGAGAATAATATTGTTTTTGCTTAAAGTAGTGAACCTTATGGATTAATTATTATTTTACATGAGTTTAGTAATAATGTCGGTGATGTTAGTTTATTTCTCTGGTATTTATTAGGTCGGTAAAAAAAATCACTTTATTATTTGTCTTCCGCTGTATTTTGCATTAATTATATACATGGATGGTTGGTTAAGGCCTTGGTGGCCGGTTCACTGCTCACCCTATGTGATCCGGGGTAGGGGTGTGACACTCACACAGCGTAAGCGTAATCCCTGTTTGTGGTTCTTGGAAGAGGATTAGTCAAGTAGAATTAAAGGACGAATGAATGATACGGACGAAATCGAGGTGCTTAGCGTTAACGTAATCCTCTCTTTGCTCCGATCAAAATAGGAATAGAAAATCCTGTAAAACTTTTTTTTTCCATGATTATTAGGACTTGAGCCTTAAGGGTTTTGGGAAATTGGGCTAATGATTAGTGATCTAGTGAGTTGGTACTAGTAGCCTTGTATAAAAGTGATAATTTAATTTTTTTTTTACTCTGGGCTTCAGCCCACCATAGTCCACTAATGACTCCGTCCTTGACTATTGGTGCAATTTATCTATCCATTTTTTACCTCATGCACCAGTCAGACACCAACTCAACCGGTGCCTTTCCTCCTCCTTTTTTTGTGTGTCTATGTCTATGTCTATGTCTATACTATGGAATTCGAAACGAGAGTCACATAGAAATCAGTTAAAAAAAGTATGGTTAACATAGCATTTAACAAAGGCCCAATTTTTAAAAGAGGGTCTCTAATTTAGCAAAAGTTGCAGAGTTGCACTCCTAAGTTAACCAAGGCACCAGCACATTGAGTCCCTACAGGGAGACTCCCCTGTACATGAGCCGAATACAGCTAAGGCATCAGCACACTGTCCTCATCAGGGGTTTAAAAATTTCGATCAAAGTTTTGTTTGGGTGATTGTCTACTTAAATGTTGATAGGTAGATTGCACGGGTCGGGTGTATTCTTGCTCAACAGTTTGAGATGGAGGCACTAAGGTGAGACCACTCAGGTGTCCTGCAGACAAGGAACAGACTTAGAAGTTGAGGTCAGATCCGTGTCCGACTTATTTCCTTTGATGTCTAAGTTAGTAGATGCTCAAATAGAGGATAAAGTTTTTTTTCATCTTAGGATAGTATTAATTACGTACCTGAAATCCAAGTTTTTGGACTATTTATACTTTCAAATATATGATGACACGACATCTTAATAGTACCATCAAGCCGTTGGTAGTTCTTCCATAGTATAGGGCTTGGAGAAGGTCAGTAGCTCCTTGAAATTTAACCTCATAATGATTATCTTGAACGGGAGACCGAGTATTTAGTATATGTCTTCTTAGCATCTAATGATTTTTGTCATGCATT